TGTTGGGTTGCAGAGCCAAACCAGACAGTTATGGAGCTGCAGAAGACAGAGTCAATCATTCCTCTGTAGAACAGAATCAGCAGCTCCTTGAGCAGTGTGTTCTGGAGTAATGTTTGCAAGTAGTTATCTGCCTCAAACATTCAGACCGAGTTTGCTTATCAACAAAGTTTCAGGGGTGGGCAACAAAGATGATTCAAGAGCTTGAGGGCATGCCTACAAGGACAGGAAGACTTAACTTTTGGAAGTTGGATGAAGAAAAAAAAGCTTAGGGGAGAGATGATAGCCATGTTCAAGTATGTAAAGAGAAGCTAGAGAGAATATAGTCAAGAAAGCTGGAGGGAGGGAGAGAGATAGAGAGATGGAAAGAGGGCTACCTAGCTAGATTTAGTTTACCAAGAAAGAAAAAGTTCAGAATGGAAGTTGTCTCTATAGAAGTCATAAATTTTCCATCTCTGGAGGCTTATAAGAAAAGGCTGGGCTTTGCAAATATAGCCCTTCTCCCTAATTCTCAAAACAAGGAAGTTAACTTACTTACTTGCAATAAGGAGCTTTATCTTTACAACCGCAGGCAATCCCTTTAGGGCAAAAATCATTTGTGTCACCTACACAGTTGCCAAAGTCTGCAACATGGGTGCAGTCAGCTGGAAAACAAGGCACACTTCAGTTCCAACGTCATCACTGAATTTCCAAGAGCAAATTTCAACTGTATATGTGGGTCGCTCACTACCAGGTTAATGCACTGTGTTAACCATAATATAGTTTAATTGTTTTCGATGTGGTACATTCTCATCAGCTTGGCTATTGTCCTTCATAAGCCAGACTTATGGCTTAGCGTTGTAGGAGAACAGAGCTAAGTATGGTTCATTTAACAGCATAGCAAGCCAGGCTTAGTGGAATTAAAAAACAAACAAACTTTGTTTCTATTGTAAAGAATGTTGGATTAGATCAGGGCAGAGGTGGGTTCCTACTAGTTCGGATGCGTTTGGCCAATTTGTTAGTAACTTGGCTGGCCACGCCCCCAAACCAATTCTATTGGTGGCGCCATAGGCACCGCCATCTTGTTTTTTGTTTTTACTTACTGCACATGAGTGTGTAGTGTGCATCAAGCGCCTGCCCATGCATCCAAAGTGCATCCCTGAGCAAACTGGCATGGAACCACCCCTGGATCAGGGGTGTCAAATTCAAGGCCCGGGGCCCAGATCCGGCCCACGGGATACTTAGATCTGGCCCATGGGGCTGCCCTGGAAACAGCAAAGGACAGGCCCATGGTACTTCTGCAAGGGAAGATGGGTTCCCAAGCTCCATTTTCAGCTGTCACGGTTTCCTGCAACCTTCCGTTTTCATTGGCAGAGGGTTGCAGGAGGCTGTGGCAGCAGAAAACGGAGCTCGGGAGCCCATTTTCCCTGGCAGAGCGCTCATGCCACCACAAGCGGCCCCAACAGGAGGGATGTCAGGCTGGCCATGCCCAACCTGGGCACACACACCCGCTCCCCCACCTCGAAGTCAAACACAACCCTGATGCAGCCCTCAATGAAATTGAGTTTGACACCCCTGGATTAGATGGACTTTCACATGTCAGAACACCCAAATAAGACTTACTTAACAAACAAACTACGACTTACCACCCTATGCGAACCTGGTCCCTTTCTATTATATGAGAAAAACCAAACCAAAATGTGCTTATTTACTTTTTTTCTAGCTTATCTTCCCTTTTCCCAAATTACCAACAAGTCACTTTTTCCTGTCTGGAAAAGAAAGGATTGGATTGCATTTTGTCTAATTAACCGCTGATTTTGTTAAGGGCATTGATTTCATTTTCAATTCTTCTATAACAACAATAATAATTCACTTCTAAAAAAACTATGTTTCTACCCTAGGTTGCCAGTAGATAAGAACAATCTCTTTCTGGAAATATCTACACTCGGGATTTTAAAAAAATCTAATTATCTTTAGTTATATTCCCATGATTGTAGAACCATAAGGTGTTTTTGAGTACTCTCAGCCCAAAGACAGAAACTGGTTTCCATGGAGGAAAAAAAATCCTTAAAATGTATTTCTTTTTCTTGAATCAGTCAAGATATTTCTATTCTATTTCTATTCTAAGAGCACGTGAAAATACCACTTTCTAATGCCTTGGTAAGGCCACACTTGGAATCCTGCATTCAGTTTTGGTCATTACGATGTAAAAAAGATGTGGAAACTCTAGAAAGAGTGCAGAGAGGGTTAAAAATGGTGAAATCCAAATGAAATACAATAGAAGGGGAAATAATATAAGGTGAGCGGTATCGATTGATA